GCACACGTGGGCAGCGAACTTACACACGTGTACCCCAGCTGCTTACACAGGAAGAAAAAACCGGGGAAAATGTCGTTTGTGAGAACCCAGCCGCACTTGACCTGACCGCAGCTGCGCATCTGGCAGTTTATTGACAAACATCTGATGGTTCACTATTTGTTACAAACGCAGAAAGCTTTGAAACATTTTGTAATAATTTTAGTTTCTTATTGAATGTTTAACACTGCGCCGTTTTAATCATTGCTTTGTTGGCTGGCTGCAGGGCTGCAGCGTGCGCGCAGTTCCAGTATGGCCGTCGGGTGGCCGTCGGAAAGCAGGTTGTTTTCTGTCCTTTGCATCCTGTAGTGAAATGAGCCGTGTCTGCATGTTGCTTTGAGGCGATGCGATAGAGAACCAACAGAAAAAGACGAAGAAAGGACACTACAAGGCTTACTTAAATCCTAAATTGCAGTTCCTACTACCAAGGACCGCTTCATGCACTTGCTTGCATAGCGTAAGTCTGATTATGTTTCAGCATGGATCAATACTTTTGATCAGAACTTTTGCTTGATTAGGGCCCTGTTGATCATATCGGTGGTTGCTCAAATCAAGCTGCATGTTGCTCAATAACTGAGATTGTTGCGCAGTGTTTTACAATCAATTCTTAAGTACGATAGTCTTTTTTGGGGAACTTCGAAGCAAATATTTTGGCCTGCCTGCCTGCCTGGCTGCCTGGCTGCCCGTCTGTGTGTCTGTCTGTCTGTCTGTCTGTCTGTCTGTCTGTCTGTCTGTAAATTTGCTTGCATGTCTATCCTTAACGGTACCTTAAACGGTACCAAAGTGACCAAATGATACTCACAATGGCCGACCCCATCCGCAGTGCCCACCAATATTGCTCAAGGTTCAGCGTTCGTACTTGTGTGATTGTCAGTTAAAAAGCAATTATTGCGCATATCCGAGGCACCCTCACAACACGTACAGGGCCGAAATTGGCCCCGTATCTACATGTTACACCGCAAATGTCGTCAAAACACGATCTAGAGAAAGTGAACAAAACGTTTATTTGATGTTCTGCGCAAGAAAATTGGTGAATGGTATTCTGGAGGAGCTGCGTTAGAGTGCCTCGAGCGTGAAGCGGAGGCAAACGAGCGCATTAAGTCACGTCACACGTGAGACATGAACGCTATCTGGCAGTTATCTCGGAAAACGGGGCGCGTGCCGTGCGCGCCCGTCTCTGATGTGATAAGGGGTAGACTGCAAGGCGATGGGTAAGTGCCACCACCGTGTTACCTCAGCAAAGCGTTGGAACACTTGCCATTTCGTGCAAGCGGGCCAGACAGCAGTATAAGGCTACGATCCTTAAAATTACTTATGTATGTATGCCTTTTCTAGTAAAAAATACACATCATATTGACGTGTTGGTATAGTTCCTCAGATATGCGCCATAATTGCTTTTTAATTGACAATCTCACAAATATGAACGCTGAACCTTGAGCTATATTGGTGGGCGCTGCGAATGGGGTTGGCCAATTAGATTACTGTTTGGTCTTTTTGGTGCCATTTGGAATACCGTTAAGGGTGGACAAACAGACAAACGTATAGACAGACAAGCAGACAAACAGAAAGACAGACCCAAATTTTTGCGTCGAAGGGCTGCAAAAAAGACTATCGTCTTTGATTTTTTTACCACCCTTCCAACCCTGGCTGCGATCGAATGTACTCGGTCATGCGCGGTTGCTGTTTTTTATCATTGTGTTTTTTTGCCAAGTTAGCGCAGCTGTTTAAACATAAACCTTATTTCCTTCTAGGACACCAGCACAAGCGTGCCTATTTCTTGCAACGATGTAGGCAGTGGCACAGAGAATTCTGATCAACCAAGTGGAACTTTGTCAGTGAAGAGCTCGGAAAGTGATAGTGACAGCTCCGGATCGGAGCGTTCGGAAAGAGATGAAGATTTTGTCTTCATCCAGTGTGTCTTGGAATAATATTCTTTTTCCTTCAATATAATTGTTGCCACTTGTATAAATTTCGTTTCGTGCATATTTTAAAAGAATCATTCTCAATTCAAAACAGTATCTATTAGAGGTAATGATGGATAATAAATGAAACAGGTGACGTCAGATGTGCACTGGCAGTGAACCATATTCCTTAGTTTGAGAGCAAGATGTTGCGGGTATAATGTAAGGCTGCCTACAGTTAAAATTGCGGTTCAAATGTGTACGTGTACTTTATTTGCTGCATTTTCATGATAAATATGCAGTTGGCGTGCCCAGATTTTAATATTAGCTGCAGCTCGTAAATATTCTTGATTATTGCTGTAAACAAGCCTGGTATGATGCAGACGTGAACCTAAAACGATATAGTTAGCGAGCTCTAAGTTTGGCGATTTCAAACTAAAATAATTTTTGAACATGTTTGGCTAACACGCATAAAAAATTTCAATAGAGGGTTGCAAAGGGGGCATCACTGTGAATACATAATGACTAGCAATACTACTCGCATTGAGAATCGCTGAAAAAAACTTCACATATCTCCTGTAATTTCGGAGTCCAATTGAACATATCCCATTGCAGCATGAGTCCCACTGAACTCGATTGGTGTCCCATTATTACAAACTGGAACCTGTCATCATGGCAGCAGTAACTTCGATTGATGATGATCGACATTTTGGGTTTAACGTCCCAAAACCACCACATGACTATGAGAGACGCCATAGTGGAGGCTCCGGAAATTTAACCCACCTGAGGTTTTTTAACGTGCACCCAAATTTGAGCACACGGGCCTACATCATTTCTGCCTCCATCGGAAATGCAGCCACCACAGCCGGGATTCGATCCGGCGACCTGCAGGTCAGCAACCGAGTACCTCCGCCACTGGACCACCGCGGCTGGGCATCAGCAGGTAACTTAAAATAGACAGAGATGGTTAGAATGTTTGGAGCCATCATCACATAGACAGTTAAACTGAACCGTCCTAAGGCAGCATGCACTTCCAATGGGGCACCATTTACACCCCAGTTAAACTCCACAAGGCGCCCTTTGGCTCCCATTGCTCCCAAGTGGAACATACATTGGGAGCCATAAATTTTTTTTCACTGGGAAGGCAACGCTATGCACGAATAGGCGTATGTTTCCTGCGATTTTCCAAGACCAAGCAGGTTTGAAGAAATTGCGATTTTTTGAAACCTCCTTGGAGAAGGCGATGCAGTTGTGGCCCGTCACCTTGCAATATACAAATTATGGCCTAGGAGGTTGCGCGCACACGCCGCGAGCTCGCTATATTGGACGCCATCCTTTCATTTTCCAAGATTACGGCCAGATGGCGCTTAGCACCTCCAGAATCCCATTCAGTGATTTTTACCGCGAAACATCAAATAAGCGTTTCATTCACACCAGCCAGGCCACAGTGTGAGATACAAACAATTTAGGCGGGGACGCTTCTCGGCTTCTTTGAGGCAAGCGATCAACCAGATAAAGTAACACGACACACGTTCGTCGCACAGTTGCCGGCAGCGCTGACCTATCGGCCAACCAGCGCAGTTTTTAAATAAATTGAAAAAAAAACACACTGTTGCTATAGCAACCGGCGAGGCTGGTCACAACGCCGGCGTGCAGCGAAACTCACGTTTGTCACTCTCAAAAAAACAGTCCACGCATCATCTTCAGTTGCTAGCGTGCCTTAGTCTGCAATTGCCATGGGCTCATCAAGTGTGAGGCCCACGGGACCGCTTTATGCACTCCTATACTAGAGTACCCCGTGCTCTAAATTGTTAAGTTTTCCTAAATACCAAATACTATAAAAATCATGACAACTTCAGGGCGCAGCTCCTTAAGCCTAAGGTCGAGCATTCCTGATGTATGTAGTTGTAGTAGTAGCAATAGTAGATACCCACCTCCCGTTTTGTCCTTTGAATGTCCGCTGGATGACGGTACATGTGTATGATGAAAATATGCAAGATGGCGGTACTTGGAGTGTTCACTAGATGGACGGACAGGCGTACAGACAGATGAATGTGCAGACGCACAAACAGAAGAATAGACGACAGATGGATGGACGGATGTACAAACATACGGACGGTTGAGGCCAGTGGAGGATTCATGGGTTGTCGATAAAACCCTTCGAAGCTTCGCCCCACTCATTATCATTCGCTTCATAGATATGCAGTGATTTTCGTCCCGTGTCGTCGTCGTAGTATCCACCTCTCGTTTAGTTCTTAGAATGTCCGCTAGATGGCGGTACTTATATATAATGGAGATGTCATGAAACTTTGACCACCAGGGGTTCTTTAACGTGCACCCAAATCTGAGTACACAGGCCTACAGCATTTCCGCCTCCATCGGAAATGCACCGGCTGCAGTCGGGATTCGATGCCACAATCTGCGGGTCAGTAGCCGAGTACCTTTGCCACTATACCACCGAGGAGAGGCAAGAAGACAGCAATGGTTCATACAGTTATTCTATTTAATTATTGCATAACAACGACGTTGACCCACTACACCGATGCCGTCAACATAGGGTGGCAGAAGAAGCGCTTGGCGTCTACTGCCAAAAGATCTAAGTGGCTGTACATGGAAAAGTTCATGTACAATAAGGCTTTAGATCCTTTGTGCTTCTTTTTGGCCACAGTTACATCATTACTAAAAAAAACATGCAAAATAAAATTCGTGCTCTCTCAACCTATTCAGCCAGCATCCTTGTGAAAAAAGGCAAGAGAATGAGAGAGAGGGTACGAAGGCAAGAAGCGCAATCGAATGTGAAGGTACTCACCCACCACAAATGCTGGAAAAATATATTATGCAGAAGAAACACTTGAGGCGTTCGCGTTCCGCTACTTCCATCGGTTGAAAACGGGACAACACCACATATTATGCCTTGAAAGTCTTCTGAAAAGTAGCTACTAGCTTCTGGGAGTGCCTGAGGAACAGCAGGCCCTAAGGATCAGCACGTAGTGCACGGTGCAACTACATATTAACTTCAAGCACATGTGCAATAACCTGAGTTGTCAATAAAAAAGCGGCATATCATAACCACAAAACGTTTATTGAACAACAGCACAACAGAACTGTTCACAACTGCTTACAAAATTTTCGGACCAACAGCATGATCTTTTGACGAAATTCATTAATGCTAACTCACCAAATTATAACAATGTCGGCAATAAAGTGCACCGATTTTCATTCACGTTACCCAACTATTTAAGGGTAAAAGCATGCAAAAAGAAAAGTATTGGTATTTTTCAAGTAGCTTGTTTTTATGTAGTTTATGTAGTATTGATTCTCACCTCAAGTGACGACCTGACTTAAAGCTGTTAGCCTAGTGCCGCTTACTAGTTATTTCAGAAATTCACCGGGATAAGTGAATATTGTTCAGGATGAAGAGGCTTCTGTTCGGTCAGTGTGAGATGGAGAAAACTGCCGCAAGTAGAAACTTCAAGTACAAAAGCAGAATAGCAAGCTATAAGTGGGATACATTTTCTTCAATTCCAAACTCTAAGGCAGCTAAGTGCGGGAACATATTCGTAGAGTTGCTTCCTTTGTGACTAGCCACAAGGTCACACTCTCTGAATCGTGATATAATTGACCTTCTGTTTGGGGCACATTTTTCTGAAATCAACAAAGAAGCAGGCGTGTAGAGCTTTCACAGACTCATGGAATAAATTGTCCTAAGAAATGTTAGCCAAGAGCTCTGATAAGATAGCAATTACTCTTTGTAAATTGAAGCTTACCTTGCTCGTACAGCTGAACAAAATAGAGTGAAAATTTAGAAATGTCTCACAGAACTTTTGACGTGCTTCAACATTACTGCTCACGTATATTTAAATATGTATTTTGGTTCAACTTGAAATAGACATTATTTCCTTTTGGTCATTTTTATTGAATAAGCATTAGCTAAAACCTCACACATTGCGTTTTATTAAAAGAGGGGCATCGCTCATGGGCGGCCGTTTATGAAGTGTTGCTGTACCTAGTTGATAGGTAAGAACTTACGGGTTGTTCCGTACCGAATGTGTCAAGGACATCGCTGTGTCAAGGACATCTTCTTTGGAGCACCATAATTAAGCGATAGGTCAAGAAATGAAAATAAAATCCTAAAGAAGAGTGTAAAAAGGCAGACGGGTAATCACAAAGGGCTTCAGTTGGCTTTCCCACACTGGCTTCAGAAAACTGGAATAACAGGTTAAGACAGACAGAGGAGGAAAGAGATGAAGAAGAAGAACAGAATCGGAGGGGCTTTCGATACAGTGCAGCATAGAAAAAGAAGGAACAAGGATAAATGTTGAGCGAGGTGCGTGACACAGGACTGAATCCAATTGCTTACTCAACCTTTACCTAAGGAATGAAATGGAGCTTACGAGAATTCAAAGAGCGGGTGCATTTCTAGCTTAATAACTTTGCTTAGATACACAAGACTGGGTGAGCATAAACTGCTGTAATATATTGAACTTACTTTCTTTCTAGCATGTTGGCCAGCCTAAAATACGAATCATACATTCAGGCCAGCTGATGACTGAGCTATAAAACATAACGAGACGGCACAATGAATAGAACAACTATTGCGCATCTCTCTGACGTTCAGCGAGACAGTGTGTAGATGTTGTGTGATGTGACGTAGTGAAAGTGACGTAATGCCTGACGAAATATCTTGAACCTTCTACTATATTTGTTGCGGCATTAGCGCAAGCTCACGTCCCAGCTTCTATTCTGACACCAACGGTCCAAGCTGTCACAAAACTGTCAGGAAGCTGTCACGAAGCTGTCACGAAACTGTCAAGCATGCGAGTAAGACGGCCGCTATCGCCCTGAGGAGCGGCCACGACGCTGCATGCAAGAGGCTCGAGGAAGCAGCGGCTGAATGGACTCCGTGTGGCACTTCCTTCGGCGAGCGTCCTCGGACGCGATAGTTGGCCCTCTGCGAGTCGGGTACCATGTTCCCGTTGTCTTCGAGGATCATGTCGGCCGCCTTTTCGGCCATCATAATGACCGGAGCGTTGAGGTGACCGGTGATCATCTCCGGGATGGCCGACGTGTCGACCACGCGAAGGTTGGTGACGCCGCCACGAACCCTGCACACAGAATGAAGATGCATGTCTTAGAGAACCAAAGCATTTGGACCATAGGCATCGATCCAGCTGCCCATGCCGGGACGCTAACGTGGGCTCTCGTCTATTCCGACTTACTTGTGGCCTGCGTGTTGATACCGATTCCACCATTTGCTTAGGACACGTAGCCACATACAACTGCCCTTAATATGTCTGAATGAGGCACAAGTGATTCATAGTCTACATTGACACAGGGACAAAAAAAATATGCTTTAATTTTTTCAACGCGACTGAGCTGAGATGTCACGTGCAATGATATCTCTAGCGCGAAAATCCAAATGCACACACAAGCAACGAAAACATACACAAGGCATCAGTTGATGTCTATCGCAGTTTCTGTGTATGTGTTTCATAATTGTTTATGCGTTTGGTTTTACGTGCTGCAAATATGATTGCAAGTGACTCAAACCTACAAGCCTACATCACTGTCTCGACTGAGCTATACAGGAAGCAGCACTTTGGACGTTGATAATCCAGTAATTCTGTATACGACTTCATTGCTCACCTTCGTAGTCCAACCTCCCTTATATATAAACAAACTGAGTGGTTAGGTCAATTTAGTTGAGAGCGTGCGTTGGATGTCTCATTTTTATTATTATCTGTTCACTTTGTTACAAATTTTCTTTTGCTCATTTGACCTCGCAGCCCCGCCGCGGTGGTCTAGTGGCTAAGGTGCTCGGCTGCTGACCCGCAGGTCGCGGGTTCGATTCCCGGCTGCGGCGGCTGCATTTCCGATGGAGGCGGAAATGTTGGAGGCCCGTGTACTCAGATTTGGGTGCACGTTAAAGAACCCCAGGTGGTCGAAATTTCCGGAGCCCTCAACTACGGCGTCTCTCATAATCAAATGGTGGTTTTGGGACGTTAAACCCCACAAATCAATCAATCAATCAATTTGACCTCGCATAGCATGAAACAGGCCATCTCGCATATATACGGGGCGGTCTTTGACAGCGTCTTATTGAGCGAAAAGTTCCAATGGAAGCAATGAATCACAAGCTCGGCTCACACTGCAATCGAACTTAGTGAATCTGTGTGACAGATAAATCTTCTGCCGCGGTGCCATGGAGGTGCTCAATGGGTCTAGATACGATCGGACACGTTTTCTGGTCACCTTTTACAATTTCGATGAAATAAACTGTGTAAGAGCAGCAGTAATAAACTTTGTTTTGTGAAGAACAATAGGTCGCCTGAAATATATATATGTGTATATATAACTTTCCGCTGGGGAAAATGCTATTCCAAAATTTTGTGATTTCTGGAGTATGAACGCGCGCAGCAACAAAAACGGCCCGCGTTTCGATTACATCATTTATTCACCTTCAATAAGAACTGGTAGGCAATGTTGTGAGACCAATATTTTCTCGCCTGTTAATAAGTTTAAAAGAAAAAATAACAAACGTGACAAATCGCACAAAACATCTGTATTAGAAAAATTTATTGCTGGAAAAGATTTGAATTGACACTTTTTAAACTAGCCTCGTATTAGCGTTAATGCTAGCCGTGTTTTTAAGAATACCTGTCGCAGTTTCATCGGGCATTTTTTCAATGCATAGTTGGGAGTAACGTAAGCTGTTTACAAAAAACAGCGATGTTCGAAAATCTTTTGGTCGAAAAAGCAAGTTTTAATTTTTCTATATATCCCTCTGATTGAAGTCAAGGATGCAACCTGTAGTATTGTAAGAAAAAATTCAGCAGATCCCACGCGCCTTCAGAAACGACATTAAGCGAAGCATGAGCTGAAAAGGTGACCGTGTTATAATTTTGTTTACAGAGAGGCACGTTATGAAATGACGCTGAATATATGTAGTAATGTAGCACGCAAAGACATATGTCAAGCAGTATCAGATGCTTATGTAACCAGTCCTTTGCACTTCCGTAATGATGCCAACAGAAACATGAGCAACACCACAAAGGATAAGCTGATATAAAGTGCTGGTGCTCACAATGATTGTAGCCCTGCGCACAGCTACATAAATCCACTTCAGCGGATGGCACCTAACTACAAGTGACGTTGACTTCACGTGATATCACACGAATACATATGAATTTTTAAAAAAATTTGATATTCACTGCTGCAACCATCATTAATGTTCCTGAGCATCAGGATTTATTTGAAAAGTAGTTCCGAGACCTCGTGTGGCTCTGTGGTAGAATACTAGATTGTAACGCAGAATGCTGGGGTTCTATTCTAGCTGGGATCTTGACATTTATTATCTGCATTACTAGGGTCACCGCTGCTGGTGTCATTTTAATGAACGCCTACGTGGTAATATTACCCATGTCTCTTACCACCGTTTCTGGGTAGATACTGTGTCCATCACCTGAGGCATATACCAGGATAGTAGTGCCACATACCTGCTCGCGGATATCTGCCGCTGTCTGCCGGAAAGTGTTTGACGATGTATGTAACGGGATTGTGACATGATTCATGTCTTGATGACCACGTCATGTTCGTCAAACCATCTTACCCTTCTTTAATCATTTTCGTTCATGCCAAGTTAAGGGGGTGACCATGAGAGCACCATGACGTAAGCGCATAGATAGATAGATAGATAGATAGATAGATAGATAGATAGATAGATAGATAGATAGATAGATAGATAGATAGATAGATAGATAGATAGATAGATAGATAGATAGATAGATAGATAGATAGATAGATAGATAGATAGATAGATAGATAGATAGATAGATAGATAGATAGATAGATAGATAGATAGATAGATAGATAGATAGAATAGATAGATAGATAGATAGATAGATAGATAGATAGATAGATAGATAGATAGATAGATAGATAGATAGATAGATAGATAGATAGATAGATAGATAGATAGATAGATAGATAGATAGATAGATAGATAGATAGATAGATAGATAGATAGATAGGATAGATAGATAGATAGATAGATAGATAGATAGATAGATAGATAGATAGATAGATAGATAGATAGATAGATAGATAGATAGATAGATAGATAGATAGATAGATAGATAGATAGATAGATAGATAGATAGATAGATAGATAGATAGATAGATAGATAGATAGATAGATAGATAGATAGATAGATAGATAGATAGATAGATAGATAGATAGATAGATAGATAGATAGATAGATTTATTCATTTATTCATTCATTCATTGACGCCAAAAGTGCGGGAAGAATGTGAAGAAACGTTTTGCATTTAAAATGATACATTATACTGGTTATTAACAACTTGAAACAACCAACATATGACGTTACTCTCGTGACCTCACCATTTGTTATGGGCTGAAAATTGGCTTTAAACTGTTCAAAGTAATTATGGGCAATGTGACTACAAATAAGCAACTCCAAAAGACCAAACGCGCAGCCAGTCTGCATTGCACAACCAGGTTTGTCTTACAATTAGCCGCGTGAAAAAGCCCGGCCACTCAATGCGATGGGCACCGACATCCCATAAGGGCCGCTTCGGCAGCGGACAAGCTTTGCTTGCGCGTCTGAACTTGCTCAGATAACAAATGAGATAGATCATGCATAACTGTTAAACCTAAACGCTGTTAGGTATGGGGGCGATTTTGTAAAATTAAATCTCTGCCACGAATTGAGCTTTATAGAAAGCTGCCATCTAAAGAAAGTGGTAATTCATGCCCGCAATGCTCAGGGTTACCAGATACACAAACAGAGAAAGAGCCGCAAAATTAACCTAAGTAGTCAGAAGAGTAGCCAACCAGCAGCCATTATTCTATTTTCGAGCCAGGAAAAACGCCAAACACGATTTAAACACATTCTGATGCTTGAAAATGCAAATTGATACACCACAGCATTGTTGATCCTATTAAAATAGAGTAAAAAAAGATCAGGCGACTTCCTGGAGGAGCCTTTAAGACTGAAGAAAATTGGTAGTAATACTGCACCGACAGTCAATTGTACATAATCGACTTTCATTTTGCCAGCATGCCCGGCGGCACTGTTAATGTAGAGTGAGCAAAGTACTTCATATTCGGTAGGAACGTGCCACGGTTTTTAATCATGTTAATGTAGAGCTTGTAACACCTTTTAGATCTAGTCCAGATTTGATCCTGATGATCGCAAGAAGTTCGTATGGCATTCGATTCCTTAAGTTGCTTTTGTAACAAACACAACACTCACTCCGCTTCTAGGTTACATTTGGAGGAAAAAAAAACTTTTATTGCCCGTTTTCAATGTCATGCATAGGACTAGCACCCAATGCATCCGGCTAGCTTTATGTTTCGATCCAGAACTACAGTGTGGGCATGTTCGAACGGACATTCTCAACTTCACGAAGGTGCCGTGCTTGCTGGTGAATATGACCTTAGCAAAATCATATACGCCTCTTAGCAAACATTCATCGTATTCGGCCCCATAGCAAATGCCGCGATGTGCACTCTGCAACTAGAGTCACTGGGAAAACGATACCAACTGGGCTTTTTACGTGCAAATCTTTTTATTTGATTCTGTCACTGTTAACATGTCACGCTAGGAACAGCTTAGACGCATTCAAGTAAGAAACCCATCTAGTGCATCTTGCTCGCGCACAGTGATAAAAAGAGGCCTTCCATTTACAAACAAATAGAACATAACAATCGACATGCCAATTGACATGGCTGACATGTTGAGCAGCGTGGGCAGCTAGAATTTGTAGCAGAATAAAATTAATTGACTGCAAAAGCAGCAAGAGGCGTATGTTTCGCGTAAAGCTCCTATGAGCCGCACACATCCACTTAACGCCACCGTTTACCTAGTTTGGCACCGTCTGTACAACTCAGACTGTTAGCGCGTGAGGCGGATAGCGGCTAGAAAGCCTGAATGAGTACTCCCCGCCAGCTACGTTTTAGTGCTGCTTAACCTATATCACTTCAATTATAAAATATGAAAACCATGACAGCCGGAACACGTTTTGGGCACCCGCAATTTCTTTAGCCATACTGAGTAAAAAAAAATTCGATTACACCGAAAAA